TGTGTTGTTCCAACTCAAACCAAAGAAATGAACATGTGAGTACCAAAACACTTGCAACTGCAACAATTTTCTGAGAGAAGGGTTGCATTTTCTGACAGAATTGCAAGGGTGGCAATATTTTTGGCCATGACTGTATATACATATATGGTAGATGTATAAAATAAGAAAGAATGGGCACTGGTTTTTAAGGAAATTGGAAAAATTCTTGGAAACGATTTTCAGATATCACCAATTATTGCCCTCTTAAATATAATTAAGAATGACCATCTAAAAAAAGATCAGAAAGGTGTAACCATTATTAGAAGCATGCTAGCAAGACTGGAATTTCAGCGTCCATATTCAAGAAATTTGAGCAACAAGCAAAATATTTAAAAGCAGACACTATACTAATAGCAGCTGCAAAAAGAAAAAAACAGAATGTTTTGTGTTTTGGAATGAGTTCAGAAACAAAGCACAGACAAGGTAAGGAAACATAAAAATCCATGCAAGCAGAAAAATCTCTTCTGAGACATGCAAGACATATCCATGAGGTCCCAAGAGTTCATCCCAACATTGGACAGATGTTAGCATCCCAAAGTTGCAGAACTTTATACCCTGGAGCACACAAGCTGTTAAGCAGCATTCAATGCCAGCTTATATCACCCTTTTAGGTTTGTACTGGCCTATGCTAAGCACTGATATGATCTCACATATTGCCAGTTAGAGAAAGCCAGGCTGGTAAGTGCAACTGATGAATGACTCTTTCAGGTTCATTTAACTGGGATAGTTATGTCCATCTTCTAATAATTCACATTCATCATAAGTCATTACATTCTCTAACCAAAAAACATATAAGCTTATTTACTCACCATTCTAGCCTCTTCAAATACAAGGAATAATTATGGTACATTAAAATATAAATAAACAGTATGAATCAATAAAAGTCACCTAAAACGGTAAATTTTTATTTATTTCTATTAAAAGAGAGTTATATGGTACTATGACAATTTTCTATACATGCTTTTAAGAAAAAGAGTCTGACAAGAAGAGAAAGGCTATATACAGTATAGGAAAAAAATAGAATACCTAAAAACAAAGAACCCTATTGGTCACAACAATCACAATGATTATTAACACCACTATTGTAACAATGGCATAAATCAGTGGTTCTTAACCTTTTTGAAGAACAATGGCATAAATCGCAGCGGTAAACTTCCACTAGTATAACTTGCTTCTTGTATTGTATTGTGCACCAAATCACTCTGGCCATTTGAATTAGAAGGCAAGATCTAATGCCTTTCAACAATTTCCAAAGGAAAACCAGAATAGCACAGCAAGCCCTCTGAAAACTAACATCTTAAAGACATTCCTCTTGTACTATGCTTGTCTGCTGGGGAAAGAAATAACCATGTATCAATCTAGTAAAACAACAACTGAGAGAATTCTATATTGTCTACTAGAGATAGGCACAAAGTCCTAATTTTTCTTTTGTTTTTGTCTTATATGCTAGCACAGACTAACATTGCTACCTCTTCTAAAACTGATTACATGGCACATCATTAAAAAACAAACACAGAGTCAGTCATTCTGCCCCACTAAACCCACGCTGAAAATACAGTTCTGTCAACCTGGAACACTTTTCCTGCCGACTAAGATTCTAATAATTTTTCTATAACTTTGACAACAATCAGAATGACAACACACAAGTTGTGCCCTACTCTCCAAAACAGGAAGAGGAAGTGTCCCAAAAATAGTAGGAGGAACTATACACTGACCCATATCTACCTTTTTCCTGGCACAAAAAAAAGAACTCTATGTGGACTCACCCAGAAGGTTGAAACAAAGAACTGGATTTTTCTATGGAGTGCTTTCATCACTGTGTCTGAGTTGAGAACATCAGGAAAGGGTAGAATCTACCACAGAAACTCACCTGAACAGAGTGCAGTGCTATACATATCTTCAAAACCAATCCCAACATAGTCAGCAAGGAGGCAAATAAGGGCAGAGGTGTGACTGTCATGGACAAATCAAGCTACACACAAGCAGCTGAGAGACAATTGTCCAACATTAAATTTTGCCAGCATCTAACCACAGACCCAACCACCAAATATCAAAAACAAATTACAAAACCTTATGAAAAACATCCCTCAAAATGTATGTGAGCAAATCCTGGCCAACACACCACAAGAACTTCAACCAGTCACTTTCTAGCTGCTACCAAAACTACACAAACCAGGAAACCTCAGTAGACCTATTGTATCAACAACAACACAGTTGGATATTTGGACTCCATCCTCAAACTACAGTATATGCTGCCAATTCACTTAGCTAGCTAGCTAGCTAGCTATTGATTGATTGATTGATTGATTGATTGATTGATTGATTTGATTTGATTTGCAACCGTTGAAACAACCACTCTAGGCGGCTATGTAAGAGATCCTACAGATTTTCTAAGGAAACTTCAATCCACTCACCACCTCCCTGACAACACCATCCTACAGGCTATCATGAATACTATTTGAAACACAGAAGACGCTTAGAACCATCCTCTATGACTTGGTACTCATATACAACTATTTCACCTTTGACACCTACCTCCAGGTCAATGGAACTGCGGTGGGCACTCTCATGCCCCCACAAAATGCAAACATATTCGTGGCCAACCTAGAACAGCATCTTATTCAGTGTTACATCCAAAAATCGCTTCTCTATTTGAGGTACACTGATTACACTTTTTCTGAAATAGACCACAGAAAGGAATCCTTGGAGAAATTCCACCAGGTTTCAATAACTTTCATCCAAACATCAACCTCATCCTGGAACAAACTACATAACAAGTGCATTTTCTATTTATTTATTTATTTATTTGTTCGATTTATATCCCACCCATCTGGTATATTCTACCACTCTAGAGGACCATGAAATTACAACGTGGACACCTTAGCACCATGCTGTACTGAAAACCCACCAATCAGCTTCCATCCTGAACACACAACAAAATCTATTGTTTACAATCAAGTCCTCAGACACAATCGCACCTATTCAGACTCACAAAACAGAGACTCCAAGGATCTACAAAACACATTCTTCAGACTACAATTCTCACCATTTGTTCAGGAACAAATTAACAAAAATGGATACCAAGAAATAACCTATTGCAGGATAGACCTAGAAGAGAAAATGACAGAACACCGCTAGTGGTCACTTTCAGTCCACAACTGAGACCACTCACATGCATTTTAAGTTATCTCTGGTGCATTTTTTACAAGAATACTTCACTCTCCGAAGCCATTGGTGGCAGATTCCTCAATCTCAAGCAACTACTAATACAACAGACTACACAACTCTGGCACAGAAATGGGGACTAAACGCTGCTACAGATCTCGATGCCAACTATGCCCCCACATTTATTCTGGCAACATGATTAGAGCATGTTACCATAGTCTCGTGAGACTGAAGGATGCCTATGATTACAGGATGTAATAGTGTCACACACAACATCAAGGGCACCTTTACTTGTTCTTCTGCCAATGCAATTAATTTCTATAGGGGGGACCACATGAAAAATCTGAACTGTGTTCGGGGGCCGAACCAACTTTACTTGAAAATAAAATGAAATAGTATGTTATGATTGTTTTTATTTCAAACTTGTTAATAATCACAAATACTAAAGAGGTTTTTTGTGGTATGTTAAAGATAAGCAACTGATCAACTTTAGACAAAAAGCTATAAATGGTTTTGATGTTCAAAACTGTCCACAGGCCAGACAGGAGCGGCTTGTGGGCTGTATGTGGCCCTCAGGCCGCACTTTGCCCAGGTCTGCGCCAATGTGATCTATGCCATCTTTTGCCAGCAGTACCTCTCTGCACTCTATATAGGAGAAGCAGAACAATCTCTATGCAAAAAGAATTAATAGAGATAAATCAAACATCAGAAATTGCAGTTCACAGAAACCTTGGAAAATCAGGACACTCTTTGCCAGATAGGACAGTTGCTGTTCTTAAAAATAAAAACTAGAGAACAAGCAAAGCAAAGGAAAACAGCTGATATAAAATGTATACCCATTATGGACACCCATAAAAACAGGCTGAATATCAGTCAAGGTTTCTCAAGTCATTTCCAACTGTAATAATTATGCTGTTATCTACTGTTATTTTCACTTATTAGTACCTACCAAATCCATATTTATCAACAAGGCTCAAAGGCAGTCTATCATTATTCATGTGTTATTTCCTTTAATCATGCTACTGCTTAGAGTTAGTCTTTTAAAGTACCCCTCCCTTTTTTCTTTTTTTTTCCCCTTTGCTTTTGCCTTGCTTTGTCTCTCTTGCTGTAATATTTACAGAACCAGACTTCAAAAGAACTCAATACCAAACAGGGGTCATTAATTGTTGTAGGTGTGAAATGCAACCACACACCCCTGTCTCTCTTGGAGTCTAGCATGAATGTTTTACTTTGCAGGAATCTGTGTTCTACTTCATATGTCTGAAGAAGTGGGTGAAGTTCCAGGAAAGCTTATATTAAAATATAATAATCTTTAAGGTGCCACATTTTTGTCTCTCTCTCTCTTTTTTTTTTTTGGCCATTTAAAAGTGTTACCGTTTTTGACCATTTGACCCATACTACAAAGGAAGGATATCACTAGGGAGACAAAGCGACGTTCCCTTACGCCTGCGTTACCAAAACTTAGAAAAGTTACTTCTCGCACTACAGCTTCCAGAATCTCGCGACCAGGACGGCCAGTGGTCACGCTTGCTGAGAAGAATTCGGGAGATGTGTTCCCAGAAATGCAGTTTTTCCAAGTTCTGCTTTATATCGTGTTTCTTTCCTGCCTCCCCCCCACACACACACACACCGGTCAGACTGCAGGCGGGCTTGAGAAGAAAAGAGCGGTTGCTCGCACGTTATTCCAACCCGCGCGTGGCCCGCCCCCCCTCCGTGACCCTGCTAGGAATCCACAACCACAACTAATCCTCCTCTTCCTCACCAGCATCGGGAGTCCATATTTAAACGTCTTGTTCTTCTTCAGCGCTCGTAACCGGTCTATGGCAAGAGGCATCGCCTGGGCTTCTGCAGGGACTTGCCAGGGACTCGTCCTTCCTCGCTTCCGTAGTTCTACAGAAAACAAGGCACCACCGGATCCCGAGGTCGGAAACACTAAGGTTCCGCCCCGCGGAAGCGCGCAGGTGGTGAGCCCGCCAAGCGAGCGCCGCAGACCCGCGAATGGTAACGGGGTCCCAAGGCCGGATGGGACGCCCTTTCGTGCCTTTTAAGGACAGCGTCAAGGGCGGAAAGTCAAGCGAGGCAGGGAAAATTAAAAGGCCATAAAAATATGCTCCGATGGCTACTTCGGTGCTTGGCGTCAGAGCCTTAACGCCTGATGTTGACTCTTGGGTCAAGTGGCACTGTCGCCCCCTGACTCTTGCCCTGAGGGATGTGCGTGAAGCCCATGAGGAAAAGGAGGAGAATCTGCTATTCCATCAATCAATCAATCAATCAATCAATCAATCAATCAATCAATCAATCAATCAATAAGGAAAGGAAAGGAAAGGAAAAGTAAATCGTGCTGAAGTTGCTGCTGTGAGCGCTCTCTGGCCTTTTTCACTGCCATTTACCTTCCTGAAAGGCAACTCACCAATTTATTGCCCTCAGTCAAGATTTTTGTTCCCTCTGACTTTGGGTGATAATGAAACAAAGCCTCAGGAGCGCCGCCTTGTGTCGTTGGTTCTACAGAATCTGGGTAGTTCCGTGTCTCCCTCAGAAAGTCCTGCATCGTTGCGGTTGTACTGTATACACATAAAACTGTAGAGTAAGAACATTTATTATCCAAAATCTTTATACTCCAACCTTCTCCTCAAGGACCTCCAAGATGGCTACTCCTGAGAAACTGGCTTGGCATTTCTTGTTGTTCTTAAGGGTTCGTCAATTTCCGTCCAAATATTTTGTTTTAGCTTTTTCACTGCAAGCCTTGTAGAAGATATGAGGGAGGGCCCCTTAGCAGATACACTTTGTGCCTAGTTCCATGAACAAAATGGAAGTACAATTGTGTCATAATTTCTCTGAAATTCCTCTAATTTCACCAAAGATTTTTCTCCCAATGAAAAAGGCTTCCATTCTTACGCTCCGGGCTATTTTAGAATATTTAGAATGAATCTTTGGTTGTGTTTATGAGCTTACTATATCATTACAAAGTAGGCAAAGAGGGTGTATTTGTTTTATCTTTTTGTTACATGCTTCTTCAGAAATCTTCAGCTTCCTGGGCTGCCCAACTTTCATGATTGGAAAAAGCCTGTAGAAGGAGTTACTGTGTCGTATTTTCCCTTATGTTTTGAATAGTGTGGAACTATGAAGGCTTCTGGCTGCCATAGTTTGCAATCATTTTCCTCCTGGATGCTTGCATAAAAGCTTTAATTTTCATCTTCTTCAGCATGTGTAGTTGAGTCATATACCTGAATGATGGTTCTGTTGACAGGTTTTCCACAGAGTCTGATTAATATTATCCAGTCAGACCTTGTGTTATAGCCTGTAACTGCCTGTGCTACATCTTGCTGCAGTATTAGTGCCTCTCAGTTTCTTCTGAATTTGTCATTTCCAGGGTAGAGCACCTTGCAGTTGTCTTGCTGAAAATATTCCGTTCTAGTCCACTTTAGTTCTCTGGAAGTTATAAATCAAGAAATGGAATGTATAAATATTGCAGTACCCAAATACAGCAATGTTCATACATTCCATTTCTTGCTTTATGACTTCCAGTTTACTCTGATTCCTACTTCTCATATTCCATGTTCCAGTTATATGTGTTGTGCAGCATCAGACTTTCTTTCACTTCTGTGCACGCCAACTACTGGACATCTTTTCAGCTTTAGATGTGTCATCAGCAACAGTGCTATTTGTACTTGCCCTTTGCTCTTCTCCAGTAGCTGATTTAGTGCTTTTTGACCTGGGATTCTCACCTTCTAGCATTATTCCTTGTTTCGTTTTGGACTCTCCCATCATAGGGTTTTCAAAGCAAGAGGTTTTCAGCAATGGTTTGCCATTGTCACCTTCTGTGCAGTACTAACAAGTTAGCTTGAGTGTCACCATGCCTCCTTCACCAGTGCCATTTTCAGCTACTGCTCCTACCCAATAACTGCCAAAATCCTCCATCACCATTGGAACAATTCATTATCTCTGCTGATGTGACAGTTTCCTTTGAGGAGGCTAGATTCATCTTAGTCTGATGTCTCAGCTGTAACCATTCTGCCTTAGGTGACCCTGCTAGGAATCCAAACTTGTAATAGAGTCTGGCCTCCCAACAGCATAGTTCTCAGCTTCACTGATACACTGAAACCCCTTCTCCATGTTAAGATGTACTGTACATCCAAGAAGGGGATATTTAGCTCCAACAAAATAAATATCACTATTTAAATTTGTTTGATTTTTTTAGTGGTCCAGTCACCCACTCTTCCATTTGTATAATCTGGAGGACCACACAGCCTTGTTCTTTCTGGACAAGATAAGATACCATTAATGGCAGCAAACAATACCACCCAGAAGACAACATGGACTCTCAACACCAGCTACGTAGATTCTTCACATCAGCCAGAGGTGACCAAAAATGGAAGAAACATCTTATGTCCACCAAGTAGAAATATTGACTTTAATTTGGCACAAGTGGCTATTTTTGATTGGTGAATAAACTAAATTATATTCCCTAACTTGCACTAGAGGCTATGTCTTTGAGTTGTTTTTCTGTACCCCCACAGCCAAAAAGAAGCTTTACATTCTGAAGCAGACAATGTGAGCTTGTAAAAATTCCAACCATGCTTCAAGGATGTTTGAGATCGCAGCCTCAAGAGGACTGATGTCACCTCTCACAGACATGCACAGTCAGTTTTTGGACTCTTGTCTACAGTGTTTCTGCACTATCCATGAAGGGGTTGTGCTAAGCCTGATGAAGTGGGGTTTCCTCCACAAAAGCTTGCAATTTGCTTGATTTTTTTGGTGGTCCAATAAAAAGGTGTCATCCACTCTTACATTATTATACTGGTGTTTTTCCACTAGATGGCACATTCTCCATATCCAATGTCAGTGCCATGTCTTTTGGTGTTACTGGTTTGCTTGCACAGAATTAAAAGCAATAAAATAAATAGAATGAGTGGTATCACCCTACTAGGCTTCTGCATTATAGAGAGCTCTTCCGCAAACAGAAGCAAGAGAGCATTACATTCCACTGTTTTTGAACTACTGTGGAGTTTATACAGAAAGTTCAAAGAAATGCACAGTTTTTGTTTATAATAAGTACATAGCTGCTTTTTAGAATATGAAAGTTGGTTATAGGACATTGTAAAAATACAAGATTATTGCGGTATTGTATATTAGCTGAGTAGAATGAACTTTACACAGAGAGCAGTTTGATACATTTCTTTCTTATATGGGGATAAAGATAGTATAATCTGCATAGGAAAATAATCCACACTGGAAGCCTTTTACATTAAAGTGCAACTTGGGCTGCCTGTAGAACTAGCAACTACAGAGTTTTATTTGGGTCAGAATTCACCAGGATTCAGCCCTAAAGCCCATTTTTCAAGACTTTGGCCAAACCATGGAACATACGAAGATGTTATCTTCTGAACAGACAAAGTGTCTTTCCATTCTTTTACTGTACCAGCAACCCATTTCTGTGTCTGTAGGGTTGCAGCTGAATTGTTTGAGTTTTGTGTTTCATTTGTTTTAGGAACAGTGACTATGTCTGTGGCTTTCCCATCAACTTGAGCTACAGCACCACAAAGCTTTAGGAGGAAAAGGTGCTGCCAGATTGCACTCTGTTTTTTCAATGTTATTTTAACTGCACGCCTAGAGCAAAGCAAAAATAATGCAATCCCCTTCCTCTACTCCACTGATCTTATTTCAATTGTATTAGATTAGGAATTGGCCTGGGGAATTGTCAGGGTTAGAGTGTGGCTCGGGAATGATTGGCCACCATGTATGTCAATAAGATGGTGCCAGTCCTGCAAAAAAGCACTAAGAAAAGAAGGTAAGCAGAAATGAGCCTCTGAAATGGCTTTCATTTTCTTTTGGCACTGGAATGGCAGATCCAAAGAAGTTGCTGTGTTAGTATATCTTAGCATGTTGACAAAATAAAGTAGTGAAATGGTTGTTGTGGGTTTTTCAGACTCTGACAAAATAAAATACTGTAATATTTTGCCTCCACCCCCCCTTTCACCTTATTTATTTTTGTCAACTGAAATGTGAACTTAATTTTGTTCCACTGGCAAATCAGCAACATCTCCCACAACATCTGAGGTTATCGGGCTGGTTTGGGACGCAGAAGGGCTTTGTGGTACCCACCATTGTCCTCCGAGAGAATGGAATATCCAGGGGAATCAGGAACAATGGCATAGTAAATTGCCATTCCTACACACCAGTGTTTGATGCCTGAGGCCACTGCTTGACTCATCCTAATGAAGGGCTGGTCCTGCTTTTAAAAATACTGATAGACTGCTTTGTAACATTTTTTAATTATTTGATGTAGTCTTTAATTGAATATTTTCAAGTACTGGATTGTGGGGGTACCATTCCTAAGGTTGCTAAGCCACATGGGTGTTCTAGTGAGGGGAAACTCTCCTAGCATCCTGTGGCTGCTTCTGAGAGAAGGAGCTGCCATCATTCTCCCTCCTTCTCATTATCATAGAGAGCTTGGCATAGAAGCCTTTCCTTAGGCCAATCAGAGCGCTTGATTAATTGTCTTTCTCCAGACCATCCCTAATGTAACCATTGTCCTATCTGGACCCTGTCTACTATCTGCAATGCTGTCACTACCTGTGACCTTGTAATGTTAATAAAAGGACAGTCTACTGGTGGCAGAGAAGCAGAACAGCAGAACAGCAGAACATCACAGATGGAGAAGACTTCTCATTCTGCTTCCTTGCTGAGTCGCCCACCAGGAGTACTGCTGGCAGACATCTATCTGTGTGTATGGCTGACTTCTTCTATCTATTGCTAAGAGACTCTTTGCTATCCATTATCTGGTGATCACCACAAAGCCCATCAGCCTGCTCATTGCCTGAACCCCAACACTGGATGCTGGACAAAACAAAAGGAGGATGATAATCAGTAGACTTTAGCCTAATCCAAAGAAGGATGATAATGAGTAGATTTTAGTTTAATCCAATGAGGTGTTTCTTCAGATCTGTGATCTGCCTTGAAAGGATGGAGATAGAGGAAAAAACAATTTAATTTTTACAGTGTAATATTTCTTTGGTAGAGTAATGCACAAACTGCAACATGCCTCTAAAAGACAGTCATTCCAAATATAGTAAACAAACA